TCCCTGAAACTGAGTGATGGATTGGACACATTTAAGGAGATGAGGCTCATGCATGTGCACACTGTTAATCTTAGCAATTAACACAGCCGCTCCTCCTTTTTTCTTGTACCTTTTATGTTTGGTGCTGGTGGAACAATTAAACAATCACAAAGTATACAAGCTGTCTGTCTTGTTCAATGGCTGACAAAGTAGACCAGAAGGTCACAGACCTGACCTTTCATTGTCTTTTAATGGGTAAAAGATTCAGAAACAGAAACCTCACTTCATTATCAACTAATCTCTGTCACACAACAATTAGATCTGCTGCTCTATTGGTTACTCATCACAATTAACACATTCTTTTCTCTTTTCAAATGATTGGGTTTGATCATTAATTTTTTTTCTTAACATGACCATATCAATCATTGCACATGGATCCCATATTCTTTTCTGCATTAACTAATCTCACAGACCTTCCACTCACTCACCCATTTTAGAGTCCTTACAAACTCTCTGGTGGTTATTTTCATGCTCTCATCCATGTGTTTTTAAAGTAGAATCACCCTCTCTCTCTTCCTAAATTCAGAGTACTCACTCTTTTTTAAACAACCTGTAGCCGTCTGTTGCAGAACCAGATTAGTCTGCACGTACTGCTTTTCTCTTTATATATACATATATACTTCTTTCATTCCATGAACTCACTCCATTCATTTTCATTTTCATTTCTTCTTCAATATATGATGCTGCATATGGGTGTTGTTTCGAGACGCGTAAGTTGTCGGTATGAGAAGCTTAGGGAGGAAGATGATCATGAGGTGAAGTTAGCAGGAAGGCAGGCTAGAAGTAGTGGTAAAAGGTGCCAATGGGTGAAGAAAATTAATGGAGGGTTGAAGGGTCTTCGTTTATCTCGTTCAAGAAAACTTACATTGAAACCATTGCCAGTGATCCTATATTCAAGCAAGATTGGGAGGATTTATGCAGAAATAGTACAAAGACTGAAGATGGATGATTTGTGTCCCAGCATAATCTTCTCCACTCATTGGGGACTTCCTGTTTTATCTCATCCATCTCTTAATAAATGTAGCAGGAGTAGTGTTATTTTTTAATGCAAATCTGATCACCTATTAACGATTATTTGTAGCAGTACAATCACAATCACAACCTAATTAACTCTTATCTTCAATGGAGATGATCCATGCTATTGCTTTTCATATCTTTTGTGTACTGCATGCCTTCCTTTTATACCATTATTATTACAAGAATCCAACTACGCATTACCGAAATTCTTTGTTGTGTATAGATGCATTCAATTGGTAAAATAAGTGGTCAGATCATTTGGGCTCCTTCCTTTTTCATGGCCTGCTCCTATCTTACTGGACTTTGTATGGTGGGTTCGGCTTAGTTTTTTGGGATATAAAACCTATTAAAATACACCATAGCCATAGAAATAGGTGAAGAATGTGGAATACAAAGGCTAATCATTAATCTTGAAAGCAGATTAGGTAGGAAACTACATAATATAATACACCTGCTTTCAATAATCTAAATCTATGGAGGTCAGCCTCAATAATTTACCAACTAAAACTATGATTGATTAAGTTGTTGTACTGAATTATTGATTGATGGATCAGTAGGTATAATTACAACCCATTTCATATTGTATTCTGTATTAGAATAGATGGTAACGAACAAAACTCCTTTTCTTTATATAAACGTTTTTGTCAGGAAATTCCCTATTCATGAATATCCTCCTTCATGAATCATGCTGTCTTGGAATAGGAATAAACAAAAGTCTGGTGGGTTAATAAGGGGAGGTCATTATGGTTGAAACATCGCTGTAAAGGAGTTAAAGCAATAATTTATTAATGGAGCTTTCCACCTTACACATAAACAAATACACAAGTATGTCTATACAGTTTCCCTGATTATAAAAGGCAATGGAGATATATTATGATGAATGTTCTTGCTGATTAAGTTTGATTAATTATTGTCTCCAATGGCATATCGGAGAATGTGGTGTGTGGTGCCATGTACGAGCAGGAGAAGTTTGAGAACTGATTCCAGGAAGAATATAGAAGATATTCTCAACGCCAAGCTTTCTACCATCAAGGAAGATCCTGGTGAGATGTGTGAAGCTGCAGCAACTCTAACAACTCAGACAAACCGCCGCTCCTTCCCCAGAAAGCCCAAGAGTAAGAGAAAGATGACCAACATTAAGATGGGACGCTTATTCGTTCCCCATTTCACTCTCAAAGTCAAAGCTTCTCCAATATAACAAGAGGTTGCTTAATTTTACATCTTAAAGGTACTTCTTTGATTTGATTAGATTGGTTCTGCTCTCCCACCGCCGCTAGTAATTAGACACGCGTATATGCTTAAATTTCACATGTTTTGTGATCAAATAAGTACAGTGCAGGTGGGCATCCTTATCTTCTGTAATCCACTTTTAATCTTTTCAATAAGAGATGTAAATACACATAACCTGTTATATATTAACTGCTGCTTCATTAATTAAGTCTTCTGTTTCTATTGTTGTGAAAAACTTCTCCATTTGGTTAATTATTTTGGTTATTTTTAGGATAATAGTTTGAAAAAAGTAAAATTGGATTTAGAAATTAACAAAAATATCTCTTTATGTTTATTTATTTATTAAATATCCTTATAATAAAATATTAAAAATTAACAAAAACACCCTCAACCCACCCATTAAATATAAACAACTGGCCACCACCGTCGAAGGATGGCCAAAGTCACCATATCGGCGTACGACTGGCTGGATCTGGCCAGTCGTACATTGATATGACTTTTTTTGGTCAGATCTACTGCTAGGTCTGGCCATTAACGGCCAGATCTGACCGCATTTGGTCGTCAACGATAGTTAAAGATATGACCGTTATTGATGGTTAACGACTAGCTACAGCTAAAGATCTAGCTGTTGAAGACCAGATCTTTGGCCGTAGATCTAGCCAGAAAATGCTAGATCGGTGTACTATCAGCCATATTTAGCCAGTAGTGCGCTATTATACTAGATTCTGACAGTGGTGGTCGAAATCTAGTAAATGTGGGTTATTAGGGTGTTTTTGTTAATTTTTAAATTTTTTGGGGGTGTTTATTAAATTAACAAATTTAAGAGGTTTAAAAAAAATTGAATAATATAGAGTAATATTTTAAGAATAAAAGAATCAAAGACCAATTTTCTATTTAACTTTATTAGGAAAACCAGGATAATATTTTAAAGAGTGTACCAAACGGAGCTTGTTTTGGATTGATTTTCCTAGGAAAAGTTTATTAAAAGGTAATAATAATAAGTCACACCTACTAACATTAATTAGATGGATATGATGCACCTGTCTTACCTCTCAAGTTCATATCTCATTTACCCCTTTTTAACAAGAAGTGCAAGTTATTAACTGGACCATTAATTCAATCTTCTGTTACTAGTCTTGGAACATAAGTTATCAATTCTTTTCATGAATTGGGTGGCTTGGTCTCTCCTTTATTGTAATTAGTAATAAAGTGAAAGTGATATGGTTGGTCTCAGGTTTAAATTACAAGAACGGTTGTTAATATTGTTGGTCATAGACTATAGGGTTTGTCTTATTTCGGAAGCCTTGTTCAAAGTTAAAGGACTAGCCGAGGTGGGCGTAAACTGACCCGGATACTCCCGATAACCAAAAAAAAAAATATATGGTTACTTGGGAAATAATGGTCCGTTTGGTTCATTATTCTGATACTTTTTAGAATAATATTTTGAAAAAGTTAAATTGGATGGGTATTACGATGTAGGATTTGGAAATTAACAAAAATATCCCTTATATTTGTTTATTTACTAAAAACCTATATAATAAAATATTAAAAGTTAACAAAAACACCCCAAACCCACCCATTAAATACAAACAACCAGCCATCACCGCCGGAGGGTTGCTGGGGTGTTTTTGTAATTTCTAAAAAAAATATTTAGGAGTGTTTAGTTAAATAAACAAATTTAGGAGGGTTTAAAAGAAATTAAATAATATAGAATAATATTTTAAAAATAAGTCAATTTTACTGTTTAACTTTATTGGAAATATTAATAATAGTATTCCCAATAGAGTAACAAACGGAGCCTAAGACTCCGTTTGGTTCCCTTTTGGGAATACTACTATTAGTATTCCCAATAAAGTTAAACAGTAAAATTGCAAAAACTCGCAATATTATTCAATTTTTTTTAAACCCCCTAAATTTGTTAATTTAATAAAAAACCCCTGAATATTTTTTAAAAAATTATAAAAAACCCCCCAACAACTTATATTTATCAGATTCCGATCACCACCACCGAAAAATGATCAGAATCTAGTATAATGGTGCACTACCGGCTGAATTTGGCCGGTAGTGCGCCGATTTAGCATTTTCTAACCAGATCCACGATGGATCTAGCTGGAAAAGGCCAGAACTAAGGCCAAAGATCTGGTTGTCTTTGGTCGTAGTCAATCATCAACGACGGCAAATACATGGTCGTCGTTGACCATCAACGACGGCTGTAATATTTAGGTTAATTTTCAAAATTTTACATTGTAATATCCATCAAATTTAACTTTTTTTAAAAGATTATTCTAAAAATTACCCAATAATGAATCAAACGAACCCTAAGTATTTGCGGATATTCCAATATGAAGTTATGTGTTGATTAACTTTTGTTTTTGGTGTTTGTGATTTTAAATGACTTGGAACTGCTTTTGTAGCCAAAATAAAAAAGGAGAGTTTTGGTCCTTTCGGGCACGAAGCCTGCAAGAGTTCACAAGATTACTTGGTTATGTCTCTGTCAACAACTGGTTTATATGTCTGCCACCAAAGCCAACACGTGGAGCTTTAAGTATTCTTGTCTTCCTTATGTGGATAGCGTATACACATCATATACATACATTCCTAGTTAGATCAAACTCAAATTTTATTTAGTGGTTACTGTTAGAAGTTGGAAAAATCATAGAAGTCGTGACAGAGACAAAGTTTCTGTGGGCCTACAACTGTGGCGAAAAAATTGAAAATTTCTCAACTTTGAATTCCATTATTTCTGAAGAAAGAAGAGAAACTTTAATTGAGATTTGATGGGTTCTCTTCTTTTTCTTCTCTTTTGATCTCATCTATCAGTATCAAGGGCTGTATTAATTAGCCCTTGTTTCAGTTTTATGATTTTGTTCTTTCTATGGTATGTTAATACATATATCTGTTGATGTCCGAGTTGGATAAAGAAATTTCCAGAGTTGGTGGCACTGTTGATGATGATGAAGATGATGATCAGACGGTTGGAGGTGGTGGTGGTGGCGGCCGTCGTGGTGGTGGGGTCCATGGGAATGATGGTGAAGAGAAGCAGGGAGGGTTTGGGTGTGCACAGAATTTTGGAAGAAGGGCTAAGAAGTTGGTCCTGCTTCCAGTGGCAAAGGCCAAGAAGCAACTCTATAACAGAAGACAAAGACAACAAAACAAAAGGGTTTCACTTTCTGATGCTTCTGCGAATGCTGGTGAGAAATTTGGTGGTACTAGTAGTAAAGTTTGCTTCTCTTGTTTTATGCAACCTCCAACTTTGGATTCATCTGCTGAGTCTATCGAAAGTGACCCCAATGATCCTAACTTCTCTAATGAGATGTTGAGGTCTTTGATTGAGAATAATGATTTCTATTCTAAAGAATGCAATCCCCACCTGAATTTTCATGGGTGAATTATTCTCGAGGATTGATATTGTTGTTTTGTGGTTGTGATTGTTGAGAAATTCCTCAAAAGCTTCAAAGAAAAGTTATGGTTTTTGCTGAAATTGATAGCTTTTGCTAGAGAGATCAAACATTTGCGTGCTTAATTGGTTTCAGCAGATGCTAAGAACTTCGTTTTGACATATATATAGAAATTATTCATGGTTTCAGCACTGTGATCCACTGCCCAAGCAAAAGAGGCTATTGAAACCCCGTCTAGTACTTAGATTTTAGAGAAATAGTGTTAATATTCATATTCTTAAGGCATGATTTTATCATTTCGTTCTGTGTATACCATAAAGCATGATTGAGTTCAGAATTCTGTGTACCGTTTGTTACTTCCCGAGCCTTGTTTATCTATCCTGTAAAATAGGAATGGTGAAGACTTTTGAATTTAGAGCTGCCTTCTAATGGCTTGTTAGAGTACAAATTTGTGAATGATGCCTCCTAGCCCCTTCCCCTACTTGCTTTATCTAAGCTACTTAGTCTTTAAGGATCAGTTATGTCTGAAACACATGGTTCACACATGAATTATGTTTTAGTAAGAAAGCGACTGCCGGGCCACACAAGATAAACAGAAAAAATAGTTCAAATCTCAATACAAAATTGTTTTAAATTTTATATGAATGACTGTTATTCGCTGACTTTCTAAGGTCTAAGTCTAACCTTTTGCTCCCCTACTGAAAAGAGGCAAAGCCGCTTCGCACCACTGATAGGCTATGACTACTTAAGATTCAATTCAAAAGACCCTACTTAGTTTTGCAAGCCTTTGTCATTGTCAGTCAACGAAGTAGAGCCTGAATATCAAAATGGACAAGTTTCTGGAAATCGTACTTTAGAGTGTATATTTAGAACATCTTCCTGAAATTTGACAACTACTAGTAGTAGAATTCTGCCCTAAATTGGTAGCTTTTATGGTTAAAAGTTATTGTTCTGTTGCTCATGGATATTCTTGCACGCTTATGGCAAAGTACTGCAACCATGTTTTAGATCAATTCTTCTACTTGTGTTTTACATTTGTTCTCAAAGTCTCGCACATTTCAGCCTTCTGCAATGACAATTTCTCAACATTTTCAGATTCAAGGTCTATGTTTGTTTCTTTTATCTTTCGTTCTTTCTCGTATGAGTGTTATGAACTATTGTTCATTTAGATGGAACTCATGGGTTCAACAATGATTCCTGTTAGAATCTTTCAAATCAGATTATACAACCTTTAATTCTGGACAAAATTTTGGCTTTTAAGCCAGAGAGACAGGGTAAGGCCGCCTACAATCATAGTTCTCTACCTTCACCAATCTCCATATTGATAATAATGACATGGTCCACTTTATTCATGTTGTGATAATAACATAGATGTATTTTAATATACTTTTTCTTGGCTCCACTCCTGGAATTTGGCGAATAACAATAGCCAGGGGGTGTGCTTCTAGTTGCTGGGAATAGTTTGTATTTTTTATTAACTTTTATAAGACTTCAATGGTCCTAAAGACAACTTAAGATTCAACAAGCAAGTTAGTTTTCAGTATGACAACACAGGTATTGATTGGGGTTATCAATTTGCTTGGTTCTTCCATTTAGCAGCATGAAATGCTCTTTGACTGAAAAACTCTTAAATCATGGATTATGTTCTGAATTCCGGCACCTGAGAGACTTTGAAGCTTCCTTGCGTTGAAACAATGATATAGGATTAGGATAAATAAGAGGATAACTTTTTGTTATGCTTCGATTTGTGCGCAGCATATTGCCAGTTAAGTAGGTATCAGAACTCATCGCTAATGGCATCTCAATCACATTATGATCAGAACACGCGGTAACTGCTCTTATTTACTGTCACTTGTACATTAATCCCAGCCATGGCTTATGAACTGAAACTGAGTTATGGTTAACAAAATTCTCCCTGAAACCAAATAGCTTGTGTCCGTGACAACAATAGTTAAACAGGAGAAAAAAATAAAAAAAGAAAAAAGAAAAGCTCATTGTACTGAGTACATGCATTCTGTTTTTATCAATATCAACCTGCCAGAATCAATCAATAGTAAGTAAATAACAGGCAGCAACAAATTAATAGCATTTCGGCATTCTGTACAGGGAAGTAAAAGTTGCTGGAATCTTGCACCTTCTGTAGAATTGAGACTGGATACATTCACAAAGGTTAAAAGAATCATGGCACCAAATCTTTCTGGAAAGAAAAAAAAAACTTCTATCTACACGGTTTGGAATCTCAAACAGATATATTCCTACCCAATTGGTCAAAGGTGAAAAGTATAGGTTCTAAATCATGTATCACTGGAGAATTTTCATTAGTGCACTCTGAAAGAACACTGGGAAACACGGGAGGTAAGAGACTAAGAGTCCTGGGGCTACATAATTGACAACTCCAGGAATTATTGCACCTTACGATACCCAAATCTTTCCATGTACTTGTTCCCACAACTCTCAAACCCCAACAACTGCAAGATATGAAAGCTACAGACACACCACATGCTCTTTAGTTACAGCAACTATAAGATAGGAAACCAAAATATCATTACCCAATCAAAGTATTATTCTATTCTAATATCCTGATGTGGGGACTCCCGAGTAATGAAATTTCATTGCATTGAATCTTCTATACTCCCATGAACAAACGTAAGTAATGAGAAATCAGAAGCTTTAACATGATTAAATAGAATGTGAATTTACAGTTACACCTTAAAGTTCTCATTTTTTAACAACACCTGTACTCGAGTTTAACTTCTCTAGAACAGATAAAAAGAAAGCTTAAAAAGAAGTAAATAATTAAACTCTCTTTGGAACAGATAACAGAAAACTTATAAAGAAGTTAATAGTTTGGTTTTGTTAACGTCTCGGGGACAGAAAACAGAAAACTTGAGAAGAAGAAGGAGCTAATAATTTGAGTTTGCAATAAAAATGGAGATTGAAGATAAACAAGGCAAGTGGGGTGAGCAAGCAAACGGGGCCATGAGATAAGAGAGGGTGCACTGATGGTAGCAATAATTAACGGCAAGGGATGAAGGGATAAGCATACAAATTAAGTGTCTACAACTGTACTTTGCAAAAGTGGAGAGGGATGGGCCAAACTGTTAATGCGGTGGCAAGTGTCAGATGCAGATGGGTCTAGCACCAAAAACTATAGTAACAACACGTGACTCCCATAACTCACTTTCTTGTTTGTATTGGACTCAACTTGGCGGTCATGGAGTCATGGACAGTGTCTCATGGCTTTGACATTGGGTTCTGATTTCTCAACTCATTCTACAAGCTTCTCTTCTCTCAGCAGCTCTATTGGATTGAAACATTTTATATTACTATTCTTATCTCATCTCACCAATAAAGAAACTCTCTTCTATTATCTTTCTCCGGCAGGAGGAAACATACCTCTCCTTGTATGGTAATATGGTAACATACTAGACACCGTCTCCATCTCTCTGTCTCTTCTCTTGCATCCATAAATCTTTAAAAAAGATTAACCTGTTTTTTTATATATTATCTTGTAAGTCTCAAAAAGATACTTTCCTTATATATACATATTATAGCATTTTATCTTTTCAAGGCCTCATTCAATGTTACAAGTTGTTCTATTATTACCATATTAATCAATATATTAACATAATATGATATAATTATTCAATGAAAAGAACTATATTTTATATATGTATGGATTGGGTACAGACACAGTATCAAAACTGACCCACCCTCCATGAATGTGATATTTGTGTATATAACTAATAATATATTTGCTGTTACTATTGTCCATGGTGGTCCCTTCTAACTGGTAACTACTTAAGAGTCTTAGACTACTATGCCTTTCAACTTTCAAAAGGGAAGTGAAGCCTGTGAAGGGACTCAGATACATGAGACAGGGAGTTGCCTCCTAACTTCTAATTGCTACACTTCCTCTTCATATACATACCCATTTCCATGCTTTTCTTATTCTTCAACTAGTTTGGACTTGGAGGAGGTCGCGGGATCTTACTTAACTCAGCTTTCTTTTATATCGCTTTCCTCAGCCCAACAAGGTATGAACCTTTCCTTTTCATTCTTTAAATGGTCAACTTGTTTCCTTTTCAGCTTAGCTTCTATATTTGGTTTGTGGGTTCTTTAAATTGTTATCAAGCTTTGATCTTTCTCTGTTTCTTAGCGTCTGAAGTTGTGTGATGCGTGAAGTGTTTTGGGTTGTAGTCCTGTATGAGTTAGTTTCTCGCTGAACCATTTTGAAGTTCTGGTATCCCCTTCTAGCTGAGCTAGTCCTTCTGATGTTTGATTATAGTAAGTTTAGTTTCTTTGTATAGTGTAGAATTGGATGAAAAACTTTGGATCCGAGCAAGTTAGCCTTCGAAAGTAATTGTTCTCCTCACAAGATTGATTTCTTGTATTATTGTTCACTGTGATATAGGAAATTAGGTATTGATGGTATGGCATAGTTGATTTCCTTATGTCATTCTTCTTTTTCTTTTTCCTAAATCTAATGTTTTTTCTGCTTATCACTCGGGTTACCATTACAAGAGCATATTCAAAGAAATTCCTGAACTCTACTAATTATTATTGTTATTTTTACTACTGGACATTAGTGGTAGTGCTGTTAAGATGATTATGGCTACAATGATGATCATAAGTATGATGATATTTATTGCTATTTTCCAGAATCAATTCTATCAGTCCTTTTAAGTTCCTAGACGAGTCCCAGATTATTATTATTATTATTATTATTTTTTTTAATTTCTATCTCCTTCTTTTAAAAAATCAGGTGAAAATGTCCTCTTCAAGGCCAAGCCAATCATCTAACAATTCAGGGAGGTCAAGACATAGTGCTAGGATTATTGCTCAGACCACTGTAGATGCAAAGCTTCATGCAGACTTTGAATCATCGGGTAGTTCCTTTGACTACTCGAGTTCAGTGCGAGTTACCAACTCAGTTGGTGAACAGCAACCTAGGTCTGATAAAGTAACTGCAGCTTATCTTCATCACATACAGAAAGGCAAGCTGATCCAGCCATTTGGGTGCTTGCTAGCCTTAGATGAGAAAACTTTCAAAGTCATTGCATACAGTGAAAATGCCCCTGAAATGTTGACAATGGTTAGTCATGCAGTCCCAAGCGTTGGAGACCACCCAGTTCTTGGAGTTGGAACTGACATAAGGACAATCTTTACCGCCCCCAGCGCCTCTGCATTGCAGAAGGCCCTAGGATTTGGAGAGGTTTCTCTTTTGAATCCCATTTTGGTCCACTGTAAGACCTCTGGGAAGCCCTTTTATGCGATTGTCCATCGAGTAACAGGTAGCTTGATCATTGACTTTGAACCCGTGAAGCCTTATGAAGTTCCCATGACTGCTGCTGGGGCCCTGCAGTCATACAAACTTGCAGCCAAAGCAATTACCCGCTTGCAGTCTTTAGCTAGTGGGAGTATGGAGAGGCTCTGTGATACTATGGTTCAGGAGGTGTTTGAACTCACAGGTTATGATAGGGTGATGGCTTATAAATTTCATGATGACGACCATGGTGAAGTGGTCTCTGAGATCACAAAGCCTGTTCTGGAGCCATATTTAGGTTTGCACTATCCAGCCACTGATATTCCTCAGGCTGCACGCTTTCTGTTTATGAAGAATAAGGTCCGTATGATTGTTGATTGTCGTGCTAAACATGTCAAGGTGCTTCAAGATGAGAAACTTCCTTTTGATCTAACCTTGTGTGGTTCAACCTTAAGAGCTCCTCACATTTGCCATTTACAATATATGGAAAACATGAATTCTATTGCATCTCTAGTAATGGCAGTTGTAGTGAATGAGGAGGAGGAAGAGGGTGACAGCCCTACTTCTGTACAACCACAGAAAAGAAAGAGACTTTGGGGTTTAGTAGTCTGCCATAACTCGACTCCAAGGTTTGTTCCATTCCCTCTTAGGTATGCCTGTGAGTTTCTGGCTCAGGTATTTGCCATACATGTCAATAAGGAGCTGGAGTTGGAGAATCAAATCGTTGAAAAGAACATCCTGCGTACTCAGACTCTCTTGTGTGATATGCTTATGCGGGATGCTCCCTTGGGCATTGTGACACAGACCCCAAATATTATGGATCTTGTCAAAAGTGATGGGGCTGCCCTGTTATACAAGAACAAGATATGGAGATTGGGAGTGACTCCAAGTGACTTCCAGATACATGATATAGCATCTTGGCTCTCTGAATACCATATGGATTCCACAGGTTTGAGTACAGATAGCTTATATGATGCGGGTTTCCCAGGGGCCCTGGCTCTTGGAGATGTAGTCTGTGGAATGGCAGCTGTAAGGATATCTTCCAAGGACATCATTTTCTGGTTCCGGTCACACACTGCTTCAGAGATTCGTTGGGGTGGTGCAAAGCATGAACCGGATGAGAAGGATGATGGTAGGAGGATGCATCCAAGATCATCGTTCAAGGCTTTCCTTGAAGTTGTCAAAACAAGGAGCTTACCTTGGAAAGACTACGAAATGGATGCAATCCATTCTTTGCAGCTTATATTAAGAAATGCGTTCAAAGATGTTGAAGCTGTGGATATAGACAGCAAATCAATCCACTCAAAGCTCAGTGACCTCAAAATAGAAGGGATGAAAGAACTTGAAGCAGTCACAAGTGAAATGGTCCGTCTCATTGAAACAGCTACAGTGCCAATTTTGGCAGTTGATGGTGATGGACTGGTTAATGGATGGAATACAAAAATCGCTGAGTTAACAGGTCTTCCCGTTGAAAAAGCAATAGGAAAGCATTTGCTCACACTTGTGGAAGATTCTTCAATTGACACAGTCAAAAGGATGCTATTCTTGGCATTGCAGGGTATGTGCTAATTCATCATACTAACCATCTTTCATTTATTAAGGGTTACTAATAATAAACATTTGCATAAAAATGAGTGTCTTTATTCATGTGATCAGCACAAAAATGAGTATAATTTTGTTTATTCTTGTGCATTAGATTGATATAGAAGACTGATAAAACATAGGAAGCCTTAGTGGTCTATTTTACCCTATGCACTGTCCTATAAAGATAGGAAAAGAAACTTACATTCTCCACCCACCAAACCCCACCCAGGAGGGGAGGGGCGGAGAGGAGATTATATTTGAAGTTTTGTAACACAGGGATTGATTTTCATATTTCCAGTGAAATTCTTTGATTTCTGACTGTTTTTTAATTGTCTGTTTTTTTCTCTGTTCTGATCAGGTCAAGAGGAGCAGGGCATTGAATTTGAGATCAAAACATATGGATCTAAGACTGACACCAGCCCCCCCATCAGTTTAGTTGTGAATGCTTGTGCAAGCAGGGACCTCCATGAAAATGTTGTTGGTGTTTGTTTTGTGGCACAAGATATCACTGGTCAGAAAAATGTGATGGACAAATTCACCAAGATTGAAGGTGATTACAAAGCAATCGTACAAAACCCAAACCCATTGATACCCCCCATATTTGGTACAGATGAATTTGGATGGTGCTCTGAGTGGAATCCAGCGATGGAAAAGTTAACTGGGTGGAAAAGAGAGGAAGTGGTAGACAAATTACTTTTGGCGGAAGTTTTTGGGACCAACGTGGCATTATGTCGGCTCAAGAATCAAGAGGCTTTTGTTAATCTTGGCATTGTACTAAACAATGCCATGACTGGTCAGGATCCTGAGAAGGTTCCTTTTGGTTTCTTTGGTCGGAATGGAAAGTATGTGGAATGCTTATTGTGTGTGAGTAAGAAATTGGACAGAGATGGAGCTGTCACCGGTGTCTTCTGCTTCTTGCAGCTTGCCAGTCAAGAGCTACAACAAGCACTTCATGTCCAGCGATTGTCAGAACAAACTGCCATGAAGAGATTGAAAGCATTAGCTTATATTAAAAGGCAGATACGGAATCCTCTTTCTGGGATCATATTTTCTCGGAAAATGCTGGAGGAAACTGAGCTAGGAGCAGAACAGAAACAACTTTTGCTTACTAGTTCGCAGTGCCAGCACCAGCTCAGTAAGGTTCTTGATGACTCAGATCTTGATAGCATCATTGATGGGTATGATAAACTCCAATCTCTATGAGTGAATATTCTTTTTCCTTTACCTAATGCCGCTCCATCATGTTCTTCTCAAACATTGTCATGTAGCATAGAAGTTGTGCACTGCATCCTCTGTCCTTGATTCTTAAAGGGCCTGGCATACCAGTTTATGTGCACTATCTACACAAGCTGTGTTCTTTTAGGAGTTACAAAAATACCAAGTTTCTCACTTTATCAGAATGAAGTAGAATTTTTTTTTTTTTTCTAAAAGTTAAAGTTTATAGGAAAGAGTCCTACCATGATATATTAGCTCTAACAGTTAAAGCTTACTCAAGTTCTCCTAGCATGTTTATGAGAGACCACATTTTGATCTTTATACCTTGGTTATATACAGTAGAATTGTGGTTGAAACCAGGTCATTCTCAAATGTTCCACATTCCATAAAGAGCTTTCAGAATCCTTATAAGTTTGGATTTGATATGCACATTGGAGTGTTTAAGTTCAAGAACAAAAACAGTGACTATTGACTGAACCCTTTTTCTGACTTTGAGTTTTTTTTTTGCTCTGGTTATTTCTGATGTTTTCTACTGACTTTCTACTAAACTATGTTTAGTTTGCATAAGGAATGGAATTCTAATTATTTGCACATTTCCTGCATAGCTGACCCTTTTTTACTGAAAGAATTCAATTTCTGTTGACTTCATAATGTGAGAGGTCAACCTGCAGCCCTTTGAAGATGGGTGGGAGGATGTGGGCGATTTTTGTGATTTAGTTCATGCTTTCTCACTTTGATCTATTTTAACCTGATGCTTCTTTTTCTTTCTTGGATTCATAACAGCTACTTGGATCTGGAAATGGTTGAGTTCACCCTGCATGAAGTGTTGGTGGCCTCTATCAGTCAAGTCATGGTGAAGAGCACTGCAAAGGGCATCCAAATAGTCAATGAAACAGCAGAAGGGTTCATGAGTGAAACCTTATATGGAGATAGTATTAGGCTTCAACAGGTTTTAGCTGATTTCTTGCTCATATCAGTTACTTTTACCTCAAATGGAGGTCATCTTACAGTTTCAGCTAATTTAACCAAAGATCAGTTAGGACAATCTGTTCATCTTGCACGTTTGGAGCTCAGGTACTGTAAAATTTTCATACTATTCACCAATTGGTCTGTTACGGTAACATTGGAATATATATGCTAAACTTTGGTGTACAAATGATTGATAATTAGTATAAATACTTGGTTTCATTTTTGTCTCAGGATAACACATACGGGTGGGGGGATACCCGAAGCATTGCTGAACCAAATGTTTGGAACTAATGGAGACATATCTGAGGAGGGCATTAGCCTGCTTATTAGCAGGAAGCTGGTAAAGCTTATGAATGGAGATGTGCAGTATCTGAGGGAAGAAGGGAAGTCAACTTTCATCATGTCTGTTGAACTTGCTGCAGCCCACAAGTCTCGGGTCTAATCAATTTTCGAGGAACTAAGTTCTATAGCTTTTTGTGTACAGATAAAAAATGATTTTGAAGTTCAATCCTGAATTTCCCCCTAGCTTGTTGTTTGAATCTGTTCAATTTTATCTTTGGCCTGTTTGTGTTTGTTCCAAGTTGTAAATAATGCAGTTTCATTTGTCTCTGTGAACAAATTCACACTTGCTCGATCAACTGTTAGAATTTTTTCATCTTTCTTGTGATGAATTGCTTCAATTTTCTAATCCAAAGTTGGTGTTTCAGTGAATTTTGTCAATTTGAGTATTTGGTGGCTTTAAGGCTATTTTGTCACCTTTGGTTTGTTGTGGTTTTCAGCAATGATATTTTTATATTGTTCAGAATATTTTTATATCTTCTTTCTCTGTAAATCAGCATATGACCACCTTCTCATCTAAACATTCATTGGAATCACTGCTCTTGCACTTCATTTGCATTCTAAATAATGGGGGGTGGGGTAGTTGTTTAAATACAAAAGAAAACCACATGATGTGGTTTGTTAAGAATCTGAATGTATGTTCATAAGATCGTGAATATGAATTTTATGGATTCCAATATGCAATAAACTGTTTGATTGTTTGCATTGTTATTAATGATAAAAGTTTCACAATATCTCCTTTTTAATGCTCTTTTCCATCCAATTTTGGTCCTATATGTAGATGATTTTGTGAATATTTTGCAGTTATCCTGTGCAGGTGCTTATGAAGCTCTAACTTCTAGCTCAGCTCTGGCTTACTCAGATAGGATGGTAGTCAGTTTTTTTTTTTTTTCTTTCTTTTTCTTTCTCTTTCATTTTCTTTTCCCTTTCAACCATTTTTCAGATCTTACGCTACAACAAAGACAGAAAATAGAGAGAGACCATCTCTGCAGACAAGGAAGTAACCATAACAGGTGCTTTTCTAATCAACTTGCAACTAGACTTTTTTCATTTTATTGGCATAAGTGTGTGTGATTTTAAAGTGAATCTTTGGAGTTATTTGATTCATAATTGTTCATGAGAAAGCTTTATTTAGCATATATTTGGAAAGTCTTTTGCTTTATTATATTTTCATTTTATCTGTCTATACAAGAAAAGATAATTTAGAAATGAATTTGGCCTGAAGTTGAAACTTCTTATCTTGCTGGAACTATCCATTTTCAGTTTTTTGATTCGCAATTTTTCTTTTGCCTTTTTTATTTGTGTAGTGTTCTGTTATGCAATTGTGTGAATGAGTTGTGATTCAGACCTTGCATAATCCCTTTCTTAGAATTCTAAGCTTTTCTAAATTTCGTATAGCTGCTATTTGCATGGCAGTGTTTGCTTAGTAAAGCTCTTTATTTAAGCGAAAAGCTAGTGCATTGGGGTGAGAACGGTTTGTTCCTGTCAGCAACAAGAATAAATGAAGTCGTGGCTTTTAGGTGGTAAGTTCCATGGCTACTGAAAAAGTTATCTTTACTAGAAGTCGAATTCAAAGTTTGAATCAAGTTATATATGATGCAATAGTTGACAGGTCTGATTATTTGGAGCATTGTTGCATAATATCCATTGGCAATGCTACAGTGTAGTTATAAAGTAATAATTATATCAGTATCATCATAGCCATGTGTTGTTCTAAACTGTAGCCATAAACTTACAATTATCATCCTTATCCTTATCATAGCCATCATTGTCTTATTACTGGAATAGGTCTGTTTGTCACTTTTTTTGATTTCATTTAGTCCTAGATAACTATTCTAGCCCATCATGTTTATCATCTACCTTTAAATCTATGCTTAATTCATGTTGATAAATTAAGTCTTCAAACTTGAAACTTCTCTTCTGCATATATGGACTTTTACCAACCAAATTTATAACTTGATCATGAATATATTTGAATAGGCTATTATAAGAAGAAGTTAATTATTGGCAAAGTAATAAGTAGAAGAAAGAAAATAATTTCACATTTCTGCCAAGTTCATAAATTAACTGAGGAAACGGAACATCTGTAATACCGCGAAATTGGAATGTATTGAAACACTTTTCTTTTAGGTGAAAAGAAAAAAAAAATTTTTCTTTTAATTGTAGGAGAGGAAAAAAATAACAATTAAGAGGAATTATGTTTCCTTATGCAGTTAGGTTTAATAATTCCTTTTGGAGGTTTATTATACAAAGGTATCTTTCTCTCATAGATTATCAAATGTTGTTTAAGACAAACTTAAGATAATAATCCATGATTAATTATGGGAGACTTGGGAGAAGACTTTGGATCAAAAAGGGTTTTATCATGAGGGATTTTGGAAGATATGTATGATACAAGTTTTCTAATGATTTATAATATTTATAAATGTGTAAATTGAATTAAAATTTATATGTTTAGAATTCTTTGTTGATTTGATGACTTTGAACTGAAGGTATTATGGTTTATGTGTTGAGGTGATTAAAGGATGACCATATGTTAGTATTAAAAAAGACTTGATTTTTACCTAGGAATTTTAATGACCCTTTGTATGTGAAAACTTTTATTAAATATGTAGTTTTTTTTGTTTTTTTGTGTGTGTGTGTCTATGGTATTTATATATGAAACTAGAAATCTTAAGGATTATCTCAAATTTCTTTGGAGTCATAATTTCACAAATGATTTTCTAATGTATTTTTAAAGTTGGTGTTGTGATGCTGAAAACTTCTACGAAATTCGTTTTATATAAAAAATCTGTACTTTTAAAATTTTTTATTACAGACTAAGAGGTGAGGCTGTTCGTTTATAAAATATTGGGTTTATTTTTGTTTGATGGATAGATTGTGAGTTGAAAGATTAAGATTGTGGTTCTCACAAACGTCTTGGTTCCAAAGGAGGTGTGGCAGATCCGAGGTGTTACAACATCTGTTTTATGCTTGAAGAGCAGAAATTGAAACAGAAATATAGAATTCCACCCACTTAAATGTCACAATATGAAATAATGCATTGTATTATTAATANGCCTATGAAGCTCTAACTTCTAGCTCAGCTCTGGCTTACTCAGATAGGATGGTAGTCAGTGCTTTTTGCTTTCTCTTTCATTTTCTTTTCCCTTTCAACCATTTTTCAGATCTTATGCTACAACAAAGACAGAAAATAGAGAGAGACCATCTCTGCAGACAAGGAAGTAACCATAACAGGTGCTTTTCTAATCAACTTGCAACTAGACTCTTTTCATTTTATTGGTATAAGTGTGTGTGATTTTAAAGTGAATCTTTGGAGTTATTTGATTCATAATTGTTCATGAGAAAGCTTTATTTAACATATATTTGGAAAGTCTTTTGCTTTATTATATTTTCATTTTATCTGTCTATACAAGAAAAGATAATTTAGAAATGAATTTGGCCTGAAGTTGAAACTTCTTATCTTGCTGGAACTATCCATTTTCAGTTTTTTGATTCGCAATTTTTCTTTTGCCTTTTTTATTTGTATAGTGTTCTGTTTTGCAATTGTGTGAATGAGTTGTGATTCAGACCTTGCATAATCCCTTTCTCAGAATTCTAAGCTTTTCTAAATTTTGTATAGCTGCTATTTGCATGGCAGTGTTTGCTTAGTAAAGCTCTTTATTTAAGCGAAAAGCTAGTGCATTGGGGTGAGAACAGTTTGCTCCTGTCGGCAACAAGAATAAATGAAGTCGTGGGTTTTAGGTGGTTGTTCCATGGCTACTGAAAAAGTTATCTTTACTAGAAGTCGAATTCAAAGATTGAATCAAGTTATATATGATGCAATAGTTGACAGGTCTGATTATTTGGAGCATTGTTGCATAATATCCATTGGCAATGCTACAGTGTAGTTATAAAGTAATAATTATATCAGTATCATCATAGCCATGTGTTGTTCTAAACTGTAGCCATAAACTTACAATTATCATCCTTATCCTTATCATAGCCATCATTGTCTTACTACTGGAATAGGTCTGTTTGTCACTTTTTTTGATTTCATTTAGTCCTAGATAACTATTCTAGCCCATCATGTTTATCATCTACCCTTAAATCTATGCTTAATTCATGTTGATAAATTAAGTCTTCAAACTTTAAACTTCTCTTCTGCATATATGGACTGTTACCAACCAAATTTATAACTTGATCATGAATATATTTGAATAGGCTATTATAAGAAGAATTTAATTATTGGCAACGTACTAAGTAGAAGAAAGAAAATAATTTCACATTTCTGCCAAGTTCATAAATTAACTGAGGAAACAAAACATCTGTAATACCACGAAATTGGAATGTATTGAAACACTTTTCTTTTAGGTGAAAAGAAAAAAAAAATTTTTCTTTTAATTGTAGGAGAGGAAAAAAATAACAATTAAGAGGAATTATGTTTCCTTATGCAGTTAGGTTTAATAATTCCTTTTGGAGGTTTATTATACAAAGGTATCTTTCTCTCATAGATTATCAAATGTTGTTTAAGACAAACTTAAGATAATAATCCATGATTAATTATGGGAGACTTGGGAGAAGACTTTGGATCAAAAAGGGTTTTATCATGAGGGATTTTGGAAGATATGTATGATACAAGTTTTCTAATGATTTATAATATTTATAAATGTGTAAATTGAATTAAAATTTATATGTTTAGAATTCTTTGTTGTTTGATGACTTTGAACTGAAGGTATTATGGTTTATGTGTTGAGGTGATTAAAGGATGACCATATGTAGTATTAAAAAAGACTTGATTTTACCTAGGAATTTTAATGACCCTTTGTATGTGAAAACTTTTATTAAATATGTAGTTTTTTTTTTGTTTTTTTGTGTGTGGGTGTCTATGGTATTTATATGAAACTAGAAATCTTAAGGATTATCTCAAATTTCTTTGGAGTCATAATTTCACAAAGATTTTCTAATGTATTTTAAAGTTGGTGTTGTGATGCTGAAAATCTACGAAATTCGTTTTATATAAAAAACTGTACTTTTAAAATTTTTACAGACAAAGGTGAGGCTGTTCGTTTATAAAATATTGGGTTTATTTTTTTGATGGATAGATTGTGAGTTGAAAGATTAAGATTGTGTTCTCACAAACGTCTTGGTTCCAAGGGGTGTGGCAGATCCAAGGTGTTACAACATCTGTTTTATGCTTGAAGAGCAAAATAAGAACTCCACCCACTTAAATGTCACAATATGAAATAATGCATTGTATTATTAATAAAATGATTAAGTCTCTACTTGGGAGGAAGTTTATTCTTATGTCTCAACTTTTTCGGTAGAAAGCGCGAATGCTCTGGACAAGACAGTCAGGCACTGGTGTATTCTTTGAACAATGCAAGAGGAATGGATTGAATGCCAGATTTGGGTCAAAGGCAGCAATAACATAGCAGGCACACTCCATTGTTCTGCTGAAAATGGACCAACCCTTTGGGAATACAAAAATCTCACCCTCTTATAGGCCTTGAAAACAAGTTGCTGCCGTTAGCTGTTATGAAGCCAACAGTGAGCGCACCATTCAGGACATGCACCATTTCTGTGGCAGAGAATGAGTGTGAGGTGGGTTAAGGCCTCCAGGAGTAAAGTCAATGGGTAAGTGAGACACCGAGAGTGTTTAGACCTGGGATTTTCTGAACACAGGCAAGAGTTGGTGATAACCCTGCAGCGTTTATGGCACCTGGTTTGGCCAAACTGTCGAGAAGAAGTCATCTACTATTGCACGCTTTCTGCAGGGTACCATTGACTTTCTAAGCGTTTCATCAGCATAATAAAAAATATATATATAAACAAACTTCATGTACTAGGATCATAACATTAAAAACACTAAAAGAGAGTAATAGCTACCCTACCAAGTATATTTTCTATGAGGGGGACCTACCATGAAGTTATGAAAGCGGGGAAAATGGATTTTGAGGCTCCCAAATGTAATATAGAGCTATGAGCAGGTGGGATTAATGAAAGCTGTACAAACAATTAGCAGAACAGGAGAGAAGCAGGTCAACCTTAAATGGTGAGGTTCTACAATGAATGAAATCTATGAACATGTAGAACTCATATCAGAGCTAAGTAAGGACTGAGAAGTTTACTGGAATTGAGGTCGGCGACGCAAATATCTTGAAGCAAATCAGGATCTGCAGCAGTGGTTGACAAGGCCACAGCAAAAGTCAAGACAAAGAGAGTCACAAGAGCAGCAGCCATATATATATATGCTTGTTAGCAGTTCTTATTATTGTTCTTGTTGTTACAAGAGAAAGAAATAGAGAAGCAATCAAGAAAAGTTGGTTTGAAAAAGATGAAAGTGTTAGTTTATATATAGAGTGACAGAAACAGAGATAATTAAAGGGATAATATTATAGAATGTTGTTTAATGGAAAGGCTCAATACCGAAAGAAACATGCCTTTCACCTCTCTCCTTGTGGCCGGATGGTAAACCCTTTACCCACTAGGGTTAGTTATACCCAAAAGGTCTTGTGTTCAAGTTGCAGGAGATGTATCTACCACATTTGTGTAATTACCTTAGTTCATTAGGCTTCTGGGGTGTTCCGTGGCACTAAGAAATAGACGAGCTTCAATTTGGGTCTGGATACCTCATATATCTAAAAGAAATAATAATAAAAATCTTATTCATAAAGAATAGTTGTAACAAAAGAAAAGGTGTGGGCTGTTACTTCTGACCTGTTTTGGGCTTCATTAACTCTGTTTTTCATGCTTACTTGTAGATGGGGATGGCACACTTCTCCATATTAAATACTCTTTAACAGATAAGTGGAGTGTCATGCCTTCTGGTTTGTTCATTTCAAGAATGTTTCGCTGTTGCTTTGCTTGGGTTTGTGCCTTTTATGGGATGCTACCATTGCTAGTCACATGGGTTCTCTGCTCAGATTTCACCTCTTTCTTTGTTTAATTGATGTCCTTTTGAGTTATGGAGGAGTCTGGGAAATGCTAACAACACTTTCTTTGTTATATCTTGTTTTATTTGGTAGTGTATGTTGAGGAATATGCTTTAAGTGTTTGTTTAATCAATATTCAAGGAACTAAGTTCTATAGCTTGTTATATACAGATAAAAGATTATTTTGCAGTAGAATCCAGAATTTTCCAACGCATTTGGTTTGAATCTGTTCAATTTTGTCATTGGCCTGTTTGGGTTTGTTCCAAGTTGCAAATACTGAAGTTACATTTGTTTTTGTAAACAAAGTCACCCTTGCTCGATCAGCTATTAGAATTTTGTCATCTTTCTTGTGATGGAATTGCATCAATTCTCGAAATTAATAAACATATTTTCTATCATTAAATACATTAAATGGTTCTACATTATAAGGATTTCATCTGCTCAAAGCCTCAATCAAGAGGACAAGACTTCTCTATATAAGTGTATGTGCACCCAACTATTCACATTTTGCCATGTTAAGACGTATAGTATGCACGTCTGTCGTGAGTGGTCAGAGGCATATATGTCTGTTGCAGAGAAATTAAGGCTATTTTTCTATTTTTGGTTTGTTGTGGTTTCAGCAATGATAGTTTTAGTTGTTCAGAAAATACTTTCAGATCTTGCTTCACAGCCTATTATTCTTTGTTTATAAATCAGCTTATTACCAGCTTCTCATATTGTATATTGCGGGAAAGAATTAGTGCTATTGCTCACCATAGGCATTCTATATGGCTATTTAATAGAGGAAGAGTTGTTTGATTAGAAAACAACCATATGATGACATTTGTTGAGCATCTTAATGTACATTCTTAGCTTGTGAATAGGAACTTCATGGATTACAATATGCAATATAAAACTATTTGATTGTTGCATTATTAGTATTTTCCTTTCTACTGCTATTTTCAATCCAATTCATTTTCCAAAATGTATAGTATATGTTTTTTTGAATATTTTGATGTTATCCATTGCCGGTGCTTGCAAAGCTCTTAACTGCTTGCTCAGCTTCTGCTTTCTTTACTCTTGTGGGATGGTAGTGAATGCTCTTTGCTTTCACTTTCTTTCTTCCTTTCCCTTTCAATCATTTTTCATAACCATGCTACAACATTGACAGAGAGAATAATTTTTCATAACCATGCTACAACATTGACAGAGAGAATAGAGCGAAACCATCACAGTAGACAAGGAAGTAATCATACTAGGTGCTTTTTCTAATCAGCTCTGCAACTACACTTTTTCATTGCATTTGCATAATGTGTGTGATTAAGTGAGTCTTATTTGTGATTTGATTCATAATTGTTCATAAGAAAGCTTTATTTAACATATAAATGGAAAGTCTTCTGCTTTACGCTTTATTTAACATATATATGGAAAGTCTTCTGCTTTATTAGTTTTCATTCTGTCACTCTGTCTGTTCATTACAAGAATTGTTCAGAAATGAAGTTGGCCTGAAGATCAAACTGCTTGAATCTTGCTGAAACTATCCATTTTCAGTTTTTTGAACTGCAGTTTTTCTTATCACTTTTTATTTGTATTGTTAGCTTCCATCTATTAATTCATCTTGCATGGTGGTTATGATACACTTGTGGGTTCTAAAAAGACTAGATGGAATAACCAGTTTATAATACGAGTACAGTTCCCTTAAACTTGATAATCTTGTTTTCTGTTATTCAATTGTGTGAATGAGTTATGATATGCACCATGCATGATCCCACGTTTGAATACTAAGCTTTTCGACTCTCATATATGTTTTATTTAGCTAAGAGCTAGAGCATTGTGGCGAGATTGATTGGTTCCTGTGGGCACCAGGACTGTATTGAGTAATGTTTTTGGTTTATCATAGGCAGTTGATTTATCATAGGTTGTAAATACCCTGGCTACCGAAAAATTTATCTTCAGAAAATGTTGTATTCAAAGTTTGGATCCAGTTATACATGATGCAATAGTTGACAGGTCGGTTATTAGTGTCAGTCAATGAACTAGTGGGGATGAGAAGTGAAGGTGAAGCTTTTCCATCTATTTTTATGGTTAAATCGTAAGGGCTGACATTTGCAGATGCCCAGTTCTTTCAGGATTTATTTCTGGGTATGTGATTGAGAGAAATAGCCCAACATTCATAAATATCCATTGACTATGTTACAGTGTGGTTGTAAAGTCGTAATTATATCATTATCATCGCGGCCATGATTGTGTTGTTCTACTGTGTAACCACAAAGTTTCAATTACAATCTTTATTGCAGCCATCATTGTGCCATTAGTGGAATAGGTCTTCTTGTCACTTTAGTTCACCTTTCTCTTTTACATCATTATTGGTTGGAGATAAAGGAAAGAACCAGAAAGGAAAAAGAACATTAACATCATTATTTGTCTATATAACACTATTTAACAGAGAGTAATGCCACATCAGTTTGCATTCATAATTTCGAGATTCTTTTCCTCCAAACGATGGAAATGTTATAACATTCTTTGGTTGAGAAAACAAAAAGAAAAAGACTTCGATTCTGCATTAGAAAATTTGTAGGTCCATGGCTTGATTGCTGGCTTTGCAAGTGATAATTTATATGATAAAAGGAAGAGAAAGTAAGGACACCCACTAAGTAGCATGGGTTATATAATTAATGACTCTGATGTTAATAACCCAACTAATCTTTTAGAAGAGCTTTCAATAGGAATAGGACCACATTATCATAATTTGCATTAGATAAGATTTTATATTCAATCATTTTTGGATTTCAGGGAGTCCTGGATTTATGGGATAATATACTAATCTAACCCATCATGAATATCTCCCCTCCACTTTTAAATTTATGGTTAGAAAGAGATTAGTAAATTAGACATTCAAAATTTAAAGTTCATATCTGTTTTTCAACTCTCGCAAATGTATATATAACCAACCAACCATGAGACGTCACGTCAACGGGCGTCTGACATACTCTTGAACCATGATTGATTGGTTGTTCATACATCTAATTATGATTATCTCCTCCTCCACATTTACTCTAGCAACCAAATTTTGAAGAGGCAGTTGTAACAAAAAAGGTTCATTACAGGTAAGTACTAACTAGAAGAAAGGAAATATTTTTCACACTTTTGCCATGTTTATACTCTGAATTAGAAAACAGAGCATGTGTTTTATTCTGAAAGAACAGAAACTGAAGTACAAAACTCCACACCCACTTAAATGTCACAACCTGAAACATGTCTAAGTATATAATGCAATGTTATCAGTAAGAGAAATTTGTTAATTAAGTCTCAGTCTCTACTTGGAAGCAAGTCTGGACTTAATTTTCTCAACTTGCTTGGTACCAATCTGGAAAGCCTTGGTCAAGACATTGTCAGGCACTGTTGGTTGTGCAGTAAACAATGTGAGAGCAATGGATTGAGTACCTGGAAGCTGGCTGTTAAATGCAGCAATAACAGAAGCAGGCACATTTCCATTGTTCTTCTGGAAATGCACCAACCCTTTGGGGAACACAAAAGTCTCACCCTTCTTGATGACCTTTGCGAACAGCTTGTTGGCAGTTGTTATGAAGCCAACTGTGAGTTGACCCTCCAGGACAAACACCATTTCCGTGGCACGAGGATGAGTGTGAGGTGGGTTAAGGCCACCAGGGGCATAGTCAATGCGGGAAAGTGAGACACCAAGAGTGTTTAGACCTGGGATTTTCTCAACATTGGCTCCTGTCACAAGTGAACCCAAGCTGTTGTTTGTGCTTCCTGGTTTAGCCAAAATGTCTGAGAAGAAATCCGCTTCTGTTGGATTTTTCTTGCAGGGGAATCCATTGACTTTCACAGCTGTTCATCAATATAGGAAAAAGAAACAACTTCATGAACCAGTGATCATAGCATTAGAGAAACAATAAAAGAGAGATTATAGCTACTACCTACCAAGTATATATTATATATGAAGTGGACCGACAATGAAATTATGGAAAGCATAAAAAAAAAAAAAAAAACAAAAAAAAAAAGTTATTTTAAGAGCTCCCAACTGTAATATGGAGAGAATGAGCAAGTGGGTTTAATGAAAGCTGTACAAATAAATTGCAGAACAGGTGAAGAGGCAGAATCAACCTTAAATGATGTAGGTACTAACAATAAAAGAAATTTATGAACATGTAGAACACAAATCAAGTAAGAAGACTAAGAAGTTTACTGGAATTGAGGTCGGCGACGCAAATATCTTGAAGCAAGTCAGGATCTGCAGCAGTGGTTGACAAGGCCACAGCAAAAGTGAAGACAAAGAGAGTCGCAAGAGCAGCAGCCATATCTATATATGTGCCTGTTAGCAGTTTCTATTATTGTTGTTAAAGGAGAAAGAAAAAGAGAAGCAATCAAGAAAACAGTAAAATAAACCAATGGAATGAATGGAGTGAGAGAAAAAGTTGCAAGAGTTGAGCATATATAGTGACAGACACAGAGAAGTAATGGGATGACAATATTGAATAGTATCGTGTTGACTGTGAGGGTGAATACTTGGAAGAAACATGCCTTCTTATTCCTAAAGAAAAGGAAAGGCCCAGGCTGTTCCTTGCCACTATTTTGGGCTTGTTTGACTCTCATTTTGTGTGCTTAAAGCTTGCATATTGGGGATGGATGACCCACATCGGCTGCTTATTTAATACTCTAACAGCTGAGTTGAGTGGGGCGTCGTGTCAGGGCTTCTGGTTTCTTTGCTTTGATTGGGACTGGGTTGGTGCCTGTTACGGGATGCCGCCATTGCAAGCCACATGGGTTCTATACTCACCTTTAACCTCTTTGTTTGTTTAAATTTATGGGAGGACGACATTTTCTCACCCAAGGTTTGGCGGAACAACACTTTCCCACCTGTTAAGTTTCAAAATAACACTTTTCCACCCTTTATTAGGTTCTATTAATATTTGACTGAAAAGACAAAAATACTCTTAAATAGTTTATTATAAATTAAAATTTAGTTAAATCAAATTTTTTACTCCAGTATTTATTAATTCAAGTGTAACAATATCTTTTAAACTTTGTTTATTTAATTAATTAGGAATATTGATTTTTTTATGTTAATTGGTAAAAATGAAAAACATTATAAATTTAGTAGAATATTGAATAATAGTGATGAGATATTGATGACATTATAAATAAATATCAAGGTTATTTAACTTTGAACAATTTTATAGCATTATTCCTAACTTTTTAGACGGTGTTAACTATTTTTTCTTTTTTGACTTTTTGACTAATTAAAAATAATAAAAAAATTTATAAAGTCAAATATTTAAAGTATTTTCGGGTTCGTTTGGTTTATTATTTTATACCCTATTCCCAACCCTATTGCCAAAATAATTGTTTGTTTAATTATTTAGGAAATACTATTATATATTTTTTAATTCTTTTAGTCCCCTTAAGTTTATTAATTTCATTAAACACCCTCAGAAAAAAAGTTTAAAAATTAACAAAAACACCCCACCCACCCACCCACCCATAGTTGTCAGATTCCGACAACCATCGTTGGTGGTAGCCGGAATCTGTCACAACGGCCTACAAACGACCGGAACTGGTTGGTAATTCGCTAGATTCACAATGGATCTGGTCGGAAAAGGCCAGATCTGACAGATCCGACCGGTCTGAGTCGTAACGCCAGATTCCTACCAGATTCTGACGGTGGTGGCCGAAATCTGGCACTATGGGTGGGTGAGGGTGTTTTTGTCATTTTACAAAATATTTATATATTGAGGTGCTTAGTTAAATTAGCAAACCTATGGGTTTTTTTTTTTTTTTTGTTAATTTTTAAATTTTACTTTGTAATAATCACCCTATTCAACTATCCAATATTATTTCTAAAATCCTATCCAAAATAACAAACCAAACGGACCCTTCGTCTTTTCAATAATATATTAATAAAAACATAATAGAACCTAACAGGGGGGGATGGGGGGGAGAAGTGTCATTTTGAAACCTGAAGGGTGGGAAAGTGTCGTTTCGTCAAACCTTGGGTGGGAAAATGTCATTCTCCCTAAATTTATATATATGTTCTTCCATTCAATCTTTACAGAACAGTTTAAAGTAAATACTAAAAACACTATTTTTTACTTATGACAACAAGTGATTATGACCCATAAGTATGGAGTGATTTTGTCTTTTCAGAGAATGAAGAGCTTTTGTTGTTAGTGTACATAGAGGGATATGCCTTCACGTGTTACCATTACCAAACTTGAAAGATGACTTGGGATTTGGATATGATAATTTATAAAAATATAAAGAGAGAGATGGTATGACTTCACTCCAAGAGAATCTTAATTTGATTATTAGGATTTCATATGCTTAAAGCCTCAATCAAGAGAAAAAACTTCCCTACATTAAGCTTATGTATGTTTGATGTAGTTCATATTTTGCATGACCCTGACGGACAGTGGCGAATCCAGAAATTTCTATTAGGGTGAATCAAAATAAAAACTAATTACACATTAATATTTTTGTCCATTAATATTTCTTTTAGGGTGGGCTAGAGTTGCATTTGCCTCTACTGATGGATTATCGGATTATCCGACACATTTGGAGGTCCCAAATGGGGTTAAATTTTGTATTATATGCATTTTGTAATAGTGAAAAACCTAAAAAGTGAGAAATAGAGAGTAAGAGTGAACTGCCGTCATTTACTGTACAATATATTTGCTGAAGTTTACTGAAACTCAATTAAATTACTCTATTTAAATATTGGACGTAATTCCTTTATTAGAATGAACCACGATAAATCGTGTCTTCTTTACTTTTCTATTTTGTTATTCTGTGTGTTTTGGTTATGGTTTCAACAATGTAAATACATCTAAAATCTAGTAGACAAAGATCAAATTCAAGAACATCTTATTGTCATCTATTCAGGATTTCATATAGCTTTCATCTTCATCACTGGAATAGGCTTACTATTACATAATGGTAGCAGAAAGGTGACAATATTTGATGACGCATACACAAGAGTTAAAAAGGATAGACAGAATTAAGGTCAAGAAATGGATTTGTAAATTGGCATTGGTCTCTTTGAAGCATTAAATTAAGTTTAATTGAATATTGTAAACGCATGAGTTGATGGATTTTGTGGATTGGTCATCTGATTCAACTTTGAAGGAATGGCAGAGAGTGCCTTATACGGAATGGATTCCCTCCATCCTTTGGTGGCCTTCAAATCCTTTACCATACGAAATACAGTGTTTGAAAAGTCAAGATTTATATTTGTAGAAACTTTACTCTTTTTGTTATTTTTGTTTTATTCATCCTCCACCTAATTTGTCTTAATTTAGTGGACTGTTATGGTGTATATATGTGATTGAACACTCCCTTTTCTTAAACTAGCTTTTAGGTGTGTTCTATCCAAACCTGTTTATCACTGAGTTTCTCTATCTTCTTCCATTTTGTTTCTTTTTCATGTTCTACCTCTGGATTGGACTGCAATATGGATGCATATGCTCTATCAATTCTCCTTAGAACTTGTTTGAAGAATCATTTATGATCCATTCTATCCCATATTCTATTGTTTGTCACTACAAACAAACATCCTAATTAATCAACTAATCATGCATCTATCAGCTCGTTAAATTTATAAGCATTCTTACCCAATATATATATAAGCTTTTTTTATTTTATTTTTTTAATTTCATTTAATTAACACATCTTTCCAAACTAGTTAGGTCCATGAAACATACTACTGAACTACTATTTGAAGCAAGATAAATTTATTAATAGCTAGTGGATAATTAGAGTTTAGGATTTAGAGACCCATTCATGGGTAGCCCAGATAGTTAGGATAAATTGGGGATAACGTGAATAGGTGTACAGTCTCAAGTTTGATTTCTCATCTGAACATTTGTGATTTAAGTGGGAGAGCGTGACGATGAGTTGTTACATTAGTCTCCTAGAAGATTAATGGAGATGCGCATAAGTTATCCCAAACACTTTGGTTAAAAAAAAAAAAAATATTCACGTTTACGGTTTGGATGTAAAATTTGTAAGTTTAGAATTGTTCTTTGCTTGTTTTATAATAAATCTAAGTTAAAGCTCGAATTACCTTTTTTTTTTTTTTTTTTTTTTTTAAAGACAAGAACTGATTTGAATGAAGTGGTTAGCTTTTGTAAAGTTTGATGCAATTATTCATCTCATGGACCCAAATTTTCATCAATTATATTCTGTCTTTAGTGTGGTACTAAGAATCCATCCATAGTGTAGTACCACATGCCTTGAACTTACAGCATAACATAATTATAGATTGTCCTGATTGATAAAAATTAAGGTTGTACTTTAAATTTTCATAATCTTTACTAGTGAGTTGAAGATATTATATTAGATTTGTAGTAACAAATAATTAAAAGATGATAGATATTGTTCGGTCACAATGTATGATAAGGTAATACAAATATGTACCATTCAGAACCACCCCTTGTGACCTGATGGAGTAAATGATTGGATCGAGGAGTTAAAAGACCATTGAGTTTTGGATTCGAAATGTAATAAGAGCAAGGGATGGCCACCAATTACCATACTCTTATATATACACACCATTCATGCTATGTGCAATTATATATTTGTTCTACTGAATATTTTTTATTCATGGGCTATCAATGCTTTCATGAGGATCCACTCAGGTTTTTTCTTCTGGGGTAAACCAACCAATAATATGGGCTTTCCCAACCTCAAATTGGACCATGTCCAAAACATTTGTGTCACATCATGACCTTGATTAGCTGCAGTTTTTATATGGGAATCCATAGATGAGTAAACTGCATGTTCCCATACAAGGTTTGGTAAAATGCTCAGGATCATTATTGTTGTTAAAGGAGAAAGAAAAAGAGAAGCAATCAAGAAAACAGTAAAATAAACCAATGGAATGAATGGAGTGAGAGAAAAAGTTGCAAGAGTTGAGCATATATAGTGACAGACACAGAGAAGTAATGGGATGACAATATTGAATAGTATCGTGTTGAATGTGAGGTTGAATGCTTACAAGAAACATGCCTTCTTATTCCTAAAGAAAAGGAAAGGCCCAGGCTGTTCCTTGCCACTATTTTGGGCTTGTTTGACTCTCATTTTGTGTGCTTTAAGCTTGCATATTAGGGATGACCCACATCGGCTGCTTATTTAATACTCTAACAGCTGCGTTGAGTGGGGCGTCGTGTCATGGCTTCTGGTTTCTTTGCTTTGATTGGGACTGGGTTGGTGCCTGTTACGGAATGCCACCATTGCAAGCCACGAGTTCTATACTCACCTTTAACCTCTTTGTTTGTTTGAATTTATGGGAGGACGACATTTTATCACCCAAGTTTGGCGAAACAACACTTTTCCACCCATCAAGTTTCAAAATGACACTTTTTCACCCTTTATCAAGTTTTGTCAGTGTTTTCTGATAATATTTAACTAAAAATACGAAA